GGCCCCCCCATCCCCCCCCGGGGTCTTTGTGTGGCCGTTCTGGCCGTAAACAGGATGACCACTATCACCGCAGAGATGGCATTCACATTCGACCAGACTAGCCTTTACACAGACAGTCGAGTGGTTCTTGGTTATATCAGCAACGAGCGGCGCCGATTCCATGTCTATGTGAGTAACCGCGTCCAGAGGATCCGGAAAGACACCAATCCAGAGCAATGGCATTATGTAAGATCAGAACACAATCTGGCAGACGTTGCTACACGACCCATAGAGCCTGACAAATTACAGAACACTCTCTGGTTTAAGGGACCCGCATTCTTATACCAGCCAAAAACTGGAACTTTCCCAAGTAAACCCTTCAAACTCATCGACCCGGATAAAGACCCGGGAATTCAACCACAGGTGACAGTGCTGCGTACGATCACCACTCCACGCTTCGCATGCTTTTCAGACTGGGACTGTCTGGTTAAGGCAGTCAGACGACTGATCCACATTGCACGGTCCTTTAAGTAGAGTCGGAAAGACATTCCTCAAGCATGCCGGGGATGGCATCATTGTAAGCTTCCTCTAGGACCTGATACCATACTTAGGGGGTCCCAAGTCATTATACATGCGGTACAAAAGGAAAGCTATGGAGAAGACATACATCATCTCAAACAGGGTAAACCACTGCCCAGATCCAGCCCGTTGAAAGAATTGGACCCCTTCCTAGACCGCAACGGTCTGATGAGAATAGGAGGTCGCCTGATCAATGCAGACATAAGTGTGGAGGAGAGGAGAGAAGGAGAAACGCAAAAGATGGCAGATCTGCCCCATGAAAGGCTTAGTACTCAGCCTCCCTTCACACATGTGGGTTTGGACGTGTTTGGCCCGTGGTCCGTATCAGCTCGTAGGACAAGAGGCGGCTATGCAGAGAACAAGAGATGGGCGGTACTGTTCACGTGTTTAAGCATCAGAGCCGTTCATATCGAGGTGATCGAGTCTTTGGACACCTCCAGCTTCATTAACGCCTTAAGGAGATTCGTAGCTGTCCGTGGTCCAGTGAAGCTCATCCGCTCCGATAGAGGCACCAATTTCATTGGAGCTTGCAAAGACCTGCAAATTCCCTCCAACCTGGCCGAAAAGGTGGTGAAGCAGTTTCTGGCGGACCATGGTTGTACGTGGGTGTTCAACCCTCCTCACGCATCACACATGGGCGGCATATGGGAAAGGATGATCGGCATCGCTCGCAGGATTCTAGAGTCGATGCTTCTTCAGATGACTTCGCACAAGCTCACGCACGAGATACTCTCTACCTTCATGGCGGAAGTGTCGGCCATCATGAACAGCAGACCGCTCATTCCCGTGTCCACTGACCCAGCCAACCCCTTCATCCTGATGCCTGCCACTCTGCTCACCCCAAAGACTAGACTCCTTTTGGAGCCAATGGCGAAAGGAGTACCTTTCAACTCTACAACCACAACGAAAATGGCAACAGCAGCAATCGAACATCACCCAAGGCTGCATTGTTCTTCTCAAGGACTCCCGGTCAAAACGCAACGAGTGGCCTCTAGGGATCATAACGGAAACCTATCCCAGTCAAGATGGACAAGTTCGTAAGGTTCAAGTTCGTATCCTAGGAAAGGACGGACCGAAGCTGTTCTTGAGACCTGTCAATGAGATAGTCCTCCTTCTTCAGGACGACGCTAAACAGCTCTAAGGACCATCTCAGGGAAGTTTGACATTCCTTGAATGCCAGACAGGGAATGTGCTGTTCTCTACAAACAGTAGCTGCTTTATTAAAAATAATCAGTCAATTAATTAGTCAATCATCAGAGGATCATTGCATATGACAAGTTATTAATGAATCTCTGTCCTAAGACTGTAATTGCAGCTTCTGTGTCTCTTAGCGATGACATCATTAACGTGAGCCACATTCTACATACAGCTTATCTGTATTTAGACAGGATGATCGCTTCTCCTCGATTTAAGTTGTTTTGAAGGCACTTTCGGTATGTAAACGCTATTGAAAACGGTTAAGTTTAAGTAAAGGCAATGTTTAAGTTGAAAACATACTCATTTATCATTACGTTCTAGGATTATCAACGGGAGAAGTTAAGACACATTGTTAAGCAGTTATACGTTATTGCAGACGCTGTTTGTACATGCCTTTGTATGCACATGTAAATGTGCCAGTAGATGCTGTGCATTTATTATGTTATTTGTGTTTCTACAGTTTTACGTCATTCCATGGCCAGCAGTAAAGCGTCAAAGTCCATTGGTTGTCTGTGGTCTGTGGGAGACGTTATCTGTCTGTCGAGTCAAACTAGGTCTTTTGACATAAAGGGCAGAACACTTGGCCTGAAAGCCACAGTTAGGCTGGAGTTTTGAAGAAACAGACACACATTCGTGGTTTTGTTTTTTCATAGAATACGTTGACAATAACAAAATGTAATACTTAAACCTTATCATTATTTATGGTCATGACTCATTTTACTTAATCATTTTTTCCCCATTGTAACTAAATAAAATGATCTAATGACTACTATGGATTTTATCTGTCATTCTTTTACATCTTTCTGTTTAACAATTGAGTATTATTATTTAAATCCTTTTATTGGGTTTATTATTACTTTTTTCATCATTTTTATATCTTGTGTGCGTTTGTCTCATCCTGTTGTACCATTTACTTATCAGCTTGTCAGTCATCTTTAAACAATTTTTAATTGCAGTAATATGTACAAAAGGTGCTATACAATAATACCTTTTACTGGTTACAGTGGTGAAAGATGGAATTTTGTTGCTAACTGACTTGTAATTGCTGATACTGCTTATGTGCCAGGCAAACCTTCATGTGTAGTATATTTTAACTGCCCTAAAATCAGTGTGTGGCTTTTCAAATACTGAACACTACATTTGTCTAAGACTAGTTATAGAAATGTTTGAAACTGGGTAACTTAAACTGTACTTTTCCTTTCAAGAAGCCCACAATCAAAGCCTACACAAAGCAGATCAATACTCACTGCCATCACAAGAAGTAGGTCTCTTTTTTGCTTCAGGACAAGGATTTGGGTCAAAGGAGTGCATTTCGCCAGTGTCAGTCCCTTCTGCCATCACCAGCACCGTCCAAATCAAATCCAGGCCATCCCTGTAACTGTGGCCAAAAGATATCACAGTCATTGAGTGGATGTATGAGATATACAAGCATAAAAACATTTGGACATAATGAGTTAATACCAAGCAACACCACCCGCCAGCAGCTTGCAGTGACTGAAATATAGTCATTATGTGATTGGACAAAACATTATTACACTACATAAGACGCTGCAGGCTGGAAAAACAGCTGAATTTCGTACCAATATAAAGTCTCGACCGGGTGAAGCACTAGGGCGACATGGCACACAAGCAAACACGTTTAGCAAAATAAACATAATATTTAACAACATCGGCACATGCGACTAAAGTTACTTAGTGATGTCATTTTCTTACCTTTAGGTGTAGCCTTTGGTCCGACTTCAACGTCTGTCCTTCAGCTGAGCAAGAGACAGTGTATTTATTTTAAAGATCAGTCGGCTATTATTATCGTGCTAGCCTTTTTAGCTAGCTAATGTTGGCAACCCACAGGTTACTGCTAGCATTAGCCAGCTAGCCTCTAGCTAACCTGGCTGTACTTAGAGCGACTGCCTGCTCATACAAGTTTAGAGTCAGCTCGTCCTTACAGGAAACCGACATGAAAGTATGTGTCCTTTAAGGGGTTTCTCCAAGATGGGTAGTTGAAAGTGCTGTGAAAAACCTCCTAGTGTACACAGATACCCATTCAAATATAGCAGCAAGCATCCATTTTCTGGTCCGCTACAGTAAAATCATGGCGGCTGTCACCGCACTGACCCAAAATGCTTTGCTGCCGGTGAATTTAGTCACAGTCTTTAGCATTCATAATACATTCATGCTTAATATATGTACATTATGTCTATAAATCACAGTGACCTGCTGTCAGTATAATATACATATACGTATATAGAAGCAAACATCTTACTGCAGCAATACTGAACATTTTATGCATTAAGAGTTGAGATACAGTATGTGAATCTCAGGTCCACTGAAGGGTTTCACTGAGTGTAACCATTATATAAGAACAGTGCACTGTTATACTATTAAGTAAAGGTATGGCGTATTGCTGCCACAGAAGCTAATTATACTTTATTTGAAGGTTATGTAGCTTTTTTTTTTTACCTTAGCTGACAGTAGTGTAGCCATCCTATCACTGGCATCATTGCACATTCATGTCTGCCTTTCCTATAATGTTTTTATTTTCATTTCCCATAATGGTAGAGGGTTTCAAATGTTTTACATATGAAAAGGTGGTAGAGGTAGAGGGATGAACTTGCAACACTGAATAAAAGACAAAAGCTTAAAGTGTCAGTTTTTTGTTTTATTGAAAATGTACATCAATGGAATTAAACTAAAGTAAGATACTGAATTTGTATTGTGGGTAATTTTTAACTAAAAGAGGTAATGACTGATACTAGAAAAATGTATGGCATTTTCTGACACCAAAATGTTACTTGACAGAGTCACATCCAGAGATCATAAGTAATAAACAAGTCTCCACTTCAATACACAAAATATATCCTTATAAATTATATAATTGCATGAGTATTTCTAATACTCCTATCTGGGATTCAATTCAACTCCATCAATACTAATATTTGGCAAAATGGGAGCTGGAATCATGAGAAAGAGCAAATATACATTATAAATATGCACCATTTTGGAAAAAAATAAAAACAGCAATGAAGTTGAAATAGATTGAAAAATTTAGCTATTAATATTAGTTATAAAAAACAAGCAGGTCAACGGGTCAAGGTTCACAGCTGTAATTTAATAAAATGATGCATGCAAAATATAGAATAGGCTGGTGAATATTAAAGTACAATGTGTAATAAAAGGCCAGGGCATGTGAGCTCCATGGTATTTAACAGTGACATGTAAACATGGGCACCATCAAATGAAGTGCTAAATGTAGATATTGCTTTGGTTTAGGCATGATTATGACCTCTAATTTAAATCACTGTAATATTGATGCTCAGAAGACCTGGAGGCAGGAGACGTTCATTTCTAAGTGAACTAGATTCAAGAAAACGTCTGCTCTGATTCTGTACTTGATTACACATTATCACAGTGAATTTTAAGTTTGTGTTTAAGCAGCAGCTTTGATGCTTCAGTAGCATTTCATTCTAATGTGCACTTCGTATTCATAATCCTGTTGAAAGGATGAACGCGTAGTGCAGGGCACTGCAATTTTGTTTAAAGTAAAGATCAAATAATGGTTTCACCTATGTAGCAACTCCCACTGATGACTTCTACAAACTAAAAGAGTCTCTTTATATACATTAAGACATAGTAGCAGATTTAAACTGTGCCCGGTTCCCACCCTGCCTGGGTTTAGAGCTTCATTTGGTGCTCAGAAATACCATGCGAGTCCACATAAGGCCATAGTCAACAAAATAAGATGCAATGGGGAGAATAAAAAAGTTGAGCACAGCGAGTAAGACAGGAAGAGGTAAAGGTTGCTTAGTTCTTGCTGAAGCTGAAATCCCCTCTTCAGGTGGTCAAGACAGATTAAAAGAAGCTAAAGAGACAAAGAGAAAGAAAGCCAGCAATTAGAGTTGGAAAAGCAGAAACTGTTCCAAGATAAGAATCAGAAGTGCATCTGATACCAGAGAGAAAACAGATTTAGATGGCAAAATCCTTGCAGTTGCAATCATTCAGAAAATCCATTAAGCATAAATATTGAGTGGACAATGTGCCCAGTGCTGGTTTTTAAAATCTCATAGGATATTTTAATTTTACATAATTGTCTGTCATCCATTTAAGTGAGCTAAATGTAAATGTACTATCAAAATATGACAATGAACAAGTGAGTGTCTATACTCTCCATCACAACTGAAGTAGAGAAGGTGTTAGTCACAGCAAAAACAGTACACACACAAGCAGCAGCAATAAAACAAGAATTAAATTACATAAGGTGAGATCAGAGCAGCAGTGACACACATACACATTTCCATATTATTGCAGAGCAGGTAATATTTAAGAAACCCTGACAGATGGGGTCCACAGAGCCACTGGTCACAACTGAGGTACTCAGTACCCACATAGGCTGGTCTCTTAGCAAAGCTTGAGGGTTGAGGACCTACTCAGTGCAGAGCCAGGGATTACTGCAAAGGAAAATGAAACCACACAGACCAGTGAGCTGAGGGCTAGAAGGAGGGGGCTCATCTTGATGTATTTTGAGTGGTTTTATGCAGTGATGCCTTTAGTCCAAGTTGGTTTTCTCTTTCATGAGAAAAGCAACTTTAAACTTCGAAAACAAGGATAAAAAGAGGTACAGAACTAAAATGAACATACCAGAAGATTATAAATTGATGAGACCAAGAGGCAACAAGAATGTTTGACTTTGAGATGTTAACCACAGCTGATATACACAGTCCTCTAGAAATACAGATGTGAGCAAAGGGGACCTCATCAAAGTAAAAGTTACTGGACTAGCATCAACATTCATTCACAGTGATGTTTCAAATTTCAAACCACCATCTAGATGCCTCATCACTCAATTCAAAGCAGTTTCCCTGTCGACACATTAAATGTTAATCACCTAATTTACAGCAGTCTATCATACACAATGATTATGGTCAGTTTTAATAGTTGGTGAGAAATTGGCCTTTATTTAATTTTGAGATAATATTTTTTATTTTTTTTATGCATAACACTTATACAAACATTGGTCCCTGCAGGACAACGGACATGCGCCTTCATAAGTAAAATTTTAAAAAGTTACAATTATACTAAACATTATATACTTAAAAAACATCACATTTGTGTGTAAAAAAGGTGCAAATATGAGCACTAATACATGTATGCACACAACGCACGACAATGAATGAGGTATGGCAAAAGTGGCAGAGATTAGGCTCACATCTATTCATGCATCAGGCCAAAGTTAAACAGCATCAGCAAAGGGACACGAGATTAAATCCATGTTCTATTGTGATATCTATTTCAGTTTATTATAAGCCCAAAGCATGATCTATGGCTGTAGTGACAATTAACCCTTAGAACCAATAAGATCTTCATACAACCAATCCTCATTTTTGATATTTATGGTTGTTGTTTTTTTAAGCTATTAGCATTCAGTGGATTTACATTTGATAATTACTTCTCTGAATGTAGTTTTCTACATTGGTAGCAGGGTCTGCCATTGTCAACCTAGATTCAAATGCCTTTACACACACCAGACTCACCGGACGTGAGGTGTGCATATAATCCAGCATTACCATTTGTAATGTTATCTGAGTAATATCAGCTTCACCGTTTACTGCTCCCTCTCATATCAGTATTGTTTTGTTTGTATTGTTTTTTTTACTCTTAACATAAATCAGTGTTGTGCTAAGCTATCTGTAATAGCCTACTGCTGCTTCTTCACTTTAAAAGTGTTGGAATTATTGAAACATGGGGTGGTTGTACTGTGAAGCTGTCATGAGAAGCTCAATGTATTCATCATCACAGTAAGTAATTAAAAACCATCTACAAAAGATGACATGTCATTTTACTATCTTTATCAAATCAGTTTTAAATATTGCAGGAGCAATGACTAAATGCTGTGTTCAGCATGAAATCGGTTTGTGCTCAACACCTGCTGTAAACGTTAAAACAATTTGTTTGGCTGCATGAAAAAGATACCTTCTATTGTATTTCTTTCTGCTGGTGTCACCAAATTAGTCAAGAATGAGGAATAACTTAATTATAGTTAATCACAAACTAGCCCAACCCCCAACTCAGTGATTAATTACTAACAAGTATCGAGAACATCCATTAACAAGCAGCTGTGGAGTGGAGTGGGACTGAGAATCACTAAGATGATTGCTGCACTTTAATCTGAAGAATACATTTTCTCCATCCTCTCACTGCCTGTAGGTCTTTGACCACATACATACATACATACTCAGGTCCCAATAGTGAATGCATGTTTTCCTTTTGCCTCTGTACATTCTTACCCATCACAACTGCAGTCATGTATGTTAATATTAAAAAAAGCTCACTTCATCATGCAAAGAATCACAGAATTATTTAAAAAAAGCTCATACTGAATGCATTTTTGTATATATGCAAGTATAAAAAGATAAGCTGAACAACTGCTTCTACAAACAATGTAACAGACAAGCAACATTCAGCAAAAAAATAAATAAAAAAAAAGTGACATCAGACTGATAGCAATGCCCAGCATCTTCCACAGAGCGAGGGAGGCAGGTGGAGGGTTGGATTATGGGGGTTGGGTGAGGGTGAGGAGGGTATACTGTAAAGGATGATGGGGTAGAAACTCATTCACAGCAGGATGGCCACAAAGGAGCACTTTTTCTACAGGGATCCTAAGCTGGAAATGAGAGAGAAGGGCTGTTAATGCTTTCTTTGTGTTAAAACATCATCACAACACACACCAACTCACACTGGTGACATCAACATTAGTGACAAGATGGCACTTAGAGCAAATCATGCTTGCAAGGCAACTCGAAACGTTTTAGTGTACAAAGACGAGTGTGCAAGGACAGTTGTCTACTTTTTGGAATCAGACCAGTGAAAGTTTTTTGTTTTTTGAGATTCTGTTCCGCCTCTGAGCTTTAAACAATGTTTCTGACTGTCTTCCTCATTGCTCAGTATCAAACAGCAGCTTGTTTTCATATATTTAACAGTCTTGAGCTGCTTGAGGAGTTTACAGATTGCAAGACAGATGTCTTCATTCACCCCCCAGCGGTCAAGTCCCAATAACATCGCTCTATGTGGATTTGACTTTTCGATCAACCAAACATGACATTTCTATAAACAGAGATGGACTCTGAGGCTATTTGCTGCTCTGGTCTTCGCTGTTGGTCTCAGTTCAGCCCTGAATGGCTCTTTGTGTGAACGCAGGGCCGAGTGGGGAAGGACACAGGGAAGCCACGAAAAAGAGACTGTTGTGGATTTACAGAGACAGATGGGGCAGTATATCAAATGGGTGTGTGGAGATCTAATAAACTGGCTGATTTATATTCTGGCACAGTAAACACCGAGCTCAAGGATATGATCAACACAGATGTTACCAACACAAAACCGCATTTCTAGACTGTTGCCCACTACTCAAATAATAATTTAATGAGCACATTAAATGTTTAGATATTTAACAGCTTCCAATAATTCATTTGATTGATTATTTTCATCATCAATTAATCTGTCCATAATTTCCTTTCGACTGGTAATTCTGTTTATAAAACAATGGAAGATTCCATTAATAACTTCCCACAGCTGAAGCTTGCATGTTCAAATGTCCTGTTTTGTCCAATCAACAGTCTGAAACTAAAATATTTTCCATTTACTATCATGTATTACAAAGAAAAGCATCAAATCCTCATATCTGATAAGGGGAAACCAGCTAATGTTTGTTATTTTTGCTCAGAAAAAAATGTCAATTTTTCCATTATCAAAATAGCTGGTGTTTTATTTTCTGTTAATCCACTAAGTGTTGCTGCTCTAGTGCACAGCCAATCTGATATTCAGTGAAGGAAAACATGAAGTAATGCTCCAACTAACAATTACTGTACTTGATTGTTGATTAATCTACTGATTATTTTCTCGATTAATGGACGAGTCTATAAATGTCAGAACACTGAATGCACCATAATCACCCATCACAGTATCCTAGAGCTCAGTGATGTCTGATGTCATTGCATGTCATGTTTTGTCTGAGCAACAGTCCAAATCACAAAATATTCATTTTCCTATTGCAAAAGACTAAGATAAGAGTCATCAGTGTTTGACACTTTTGCTGGAAATGCACAGATTAAGTGAACCACATCACCTCCCGAGGTGGTCTCAGTTTGGTTCGTTTCAGAGGGGCCCGAGTTCACTTGGTATGTTCACATTTACACAAAATATGCTGACTACTCACTGTGAGTTGGTTTTGAGGGCTGAAAGGGACCAAGTATGAAAACGCCCATATTCACTTATTTCTAACTTGCATTTAAAATGAACTCTTATTCATATCTATTCAATAAATTAAAGCTGTTTTATAACCAGTCAATGATGCCTCCTATACATTTGTCACAGTTGTATTGCTTTGTCTGGTGGTGTTGGAACTCAAAAAGGGAGTCTTACCAGAAAAGGTGCCTCATGCAGCATGCAGCAAGTGTGGGAGGAGTTAACTGGAAAACATTATGGATGCAACATAGGTGACACATGCACTCACAGGACAGAGACACATCTACACAACAAGCAATAATCAGTAACTGCATTTCCTGGGAACTGACAAAACTCAAGGTTAGGAGCAGATAAACATAATTATTACTGTGTTAACATTTGAAATGCAAGACTCCTGTAGTTTTAAATCAGTGACCCACAGACAAAGCTAAAAACTGCACAGCTGTCCCCGTTTGAACAGATACTTTCCAAACAGTGCTCATACAGAGAAGAAATGGCTGTGAAGAAAATAAATTAACAACAAAGAAAATAAAGCAACAAGAACCTTCTCAGCACAAGTGTCTTCTTCCTTTTCTAACAGGCACGGAGTCGCATCAGCTTTAACACACAATCAGGAGTCAATTACCAGGATGAAGGGACCAACAATGTCAAAAGCACACTGAAGCCATACTGGAACATGTCATGTTACTAACACCGTCTGCTTTATGGCCATGATGTCTTTAAAACCTAATTACATGAACTGTTAAGAGGGAACAAGAGAAACAGTGTCAAAATGTCACATTATAATGATGCACAATTGGCAGTTGAGAATATAGAACTGATAGGGTAGAGGAATTGCTCAGTAGTTCCCATTAATCCATCTGAAACAATTGTTAAGCGTGATATGGAAAACAACTAAAATTTTCTAATACATTTATTCAGTCATTTTTAAACAGTTGCATTAAAACTGTTTGCACATATTTAATTTCATAATCTGTTTTGCTTGAGACAAGCATTTAAGTGCAGAGTAATGATTTCTGACTGGAATTCACTCAGTGAATTCTGCTGACTGGCTCGCTTTCAACTGTAAGGACAGGTTGTCATTTCACCAGTCTTTCCCCTCTCTGCTCCTCATTTCTGGTCCACATTGGTGAGGAATTCTGAATTCTGGCCAGCTACATTTACATGCAATTTGGTTCCCACTATATTCTTTGTTAATATATCAAGGGTAGCATTCATTTACCTCTTAAAAACAAAGAGTAGAGTGGGAGTCTGATAGCATTCCTGGGCTTAAGGGTCTTTACCTCATGTTTGCATTAAATTTCACAAAGCTCAGGTGGATTATTAATGAGTGGTGACAAAGGAACCACTAAGCACTTGGTGAAAATTAAGCTAAATTAACTTCTGTCTGTGCATAGAGTGGACGAGGCAGTTTGCATTTTGGTCAGAATTCAGGTGATGTTCAAAATACAGAGTCCATGGGTTTAGAAGAATTATAACCATGTATTGATGTGAACCTAGTCAAACCACTCACTGAACAGTTCTCAGAAACTAATTTGGCAAATGATCAACATCCTGAAATGTCAGTGCAACTCAGAGTCATAGTATCCTGGCTTTTTCAATCCTCGTACAACCGAAGGTGGTCTCCTGCACCAGAGGTGTAGTGATAAAGACACAGGGGGAAAGAGAACATTACTTACTTTTTCCTCTCTTTGTCCCTCTTGAGCGTGGAGGAGCCCCCTGCTTGCTGAGCTTGGTTCTGCAAGAGCTCTGCAGCAGTCTTTTTCTGTTTGAACATGTTGAGCTCGTCATCCAGGCTCTTCTTCTTCTCCTCTAGTTTCTTTTTCTCGTCCTGGTGGAGCTTCTTCAAACGGTCAAACTTCTCATGCAGCTATGCAGCGGTGACAAATGAAACATAGGTTTTGTGTTAATTGAAACAGGAGCAGAAGCTTATAACAAAGGTTAGCAAATCACATGATATTTCAAGATATGGTAGGATCCAAGTTTAGTGATCATACCTCTTTCTCTGCTTCTTTGAGCTCAGCCTCCTTCTCTTTAACTCTTTGGACAAACATTTGTCTCATTTCTTCTTCTTTCTTCTGCAGCTCACCCATGAACTCGTTCCTCTTAGCTTCATATGTCTCCTGCAGACTGGCGGAGAAAAAAAATGTAGTAATAGAAACATTAAACTATGTACTGTTCACCAGATACAGACACAAACCCAAACTGGTGCAATCTAGGAGAAGAATAAAAAGTTCAAATAATACAAAGAAGCATAAAAATGCAAAATAAAACAGTGAATAGAGCAGAAAAAAGTATGTGGAAATCCAGAAGATAAAAGCAAAGTCCAGCAGCAAAAAAAAGCACCCTCATGTCTCCTACCTGAAGGGCTTGCTGTCAGGGTCTGTGTCCTTAAAGCCCATCTCCTCCAGTTTGCAGCGGCGGTAGAGCTCATAATGGCGTGTGTGAGTCTGCTCTCGCAGGTCTTCCATGTTCACTCTGATTAGCATTTCTCGCAGTTTGACAAAGTCACAATGATTCTCGTTTTCCACTATGGGAGACATAGTGACACATGTATGTTTTACCCCACACACCAAATGGCATCCGATTCATTAGGGGGTGGGGAGACCAAGCATCACTGGTATTTACATTATGTCAGAGCTAAGAATTTTACGTTTTACGATTCACAGGCCCAGTCCCATCAATACGAAACATAGTATTGTTAATGTCCTGTAGCTTCTCTATTGATTTCGTTATCAGACTGGGGTAAGCACCATGCTCCCACAGAACATGTGATATCATGTGAATACACATGCAGTCAGTCTGATGACCACGGACTGACCGACACGTATTCAGTCAGTCAGTCTGTGGTCATCAGACCCTATGTCAAATAATTCCTGCAGCCAGAAATACTATACAATGCTTTCCGTAACCACAGTGACATATTTTCACTGTTTTGGCTGTAATCCAGCACACCGAATTTCAAAAGAAACACTGACTATGAAAGTGCTGACTTTCAGCTTTTAAGATGCTGAGAGCGGCTGCAGCTCCAACATACAGTATAATGGCAGAGAAGGTACTGTAGTTTAGTGAGGTTATGTAACTGGTTATCAGCTAGTTTACAGCAGCTGTTGGAGCTAAGGGGGAATATGGGGGGAGGGAGTATTTTTTGCAGCTCTGACAAGACAGAGCACACACTCATCTTCTGTACAGGATGTGACCAAAGCTTACCCTGCACTGTCCCCCAGGGGTACTGCCGGGCCTTCACCATCTTGTTCCCAAGCTTCACTTCCTCCGTGCTCCCCACCACAGCAAATGGCAAATGGCTCTGTGAAGCAGAAGTAAACATGAGAGCTCTACAGATTCACTTCAACCTCTCTCCACCAATCCCCATGCATCCCCAACAAAACTGCACGTGTACTTGCTGCAGCTATGCTAACATTTTGTTGCTCAAAAATCCAAGAGCACTACTACCTCACACATGAGAAATCTGGACAAATCCTCCACATCTACTGTACAAGTAGCATTAATATCACTAAGAAAACTGAGAGAAATGTGTTATTTTTAAAAACAATTTTCAAAGACAACAAGAAACAGCTCTGACATGACAATGCATTACACGGTAATGCTGTACAACAAGAGCTGACAGTCAGTGGTATAACAGAACCAGTCAGGGAGAGTTTCCATGGATCAGGACTCAAAGAGGTAAGTGAGTCTTGGCTTCTTTGTCAGTGAACACAGGTCCTTTACCACACTGCAGGCTTCCTGCAGAGTGAGCTGGCTGACTGTGCTGCTCTGAACACACCCTGCATGGGGCGGCTTCCTGACAGCCTGAGCAGACACGAGGCCTGGACTGATTTTAGATCATGTGGTTTGTGCCGTTACTGCACAACAGATTTAATGTTAAATTTAGAGACAAGGACTATAGCTGCACCTCTGTATTCCCTTAAGATTAAAGTCTTAACAAAATGCACATAAACTCATATCCATTATGACTGTACCAGTGTATGCATGTGACCTAGAAAGAAAACCTGTTGTGAGCCTCACATTCATGCTGGAGTTGATCTCTGCCACAGACTCGTCATCAGTGGGGAACTGGTAGATCTGCACCCCGTTGCTGACTAGCTCACTGGTGATTTTGATTTTGAACTTGGCCAGTTCGCTCTTGGAGATGGCATCTGACTTGGCAATGATAGGGATAATGTTAACCTGCAATTGAAAAGTGAAGAGAGAAATAATGTAGGCTGACACAATGATAGGGTGAAGATAATACTTTCAGATATGGAGCTAAATATAGAGCCACTTCCAGCCATCCATCAGCAGCAACATTTCATCACTTCCATTTATGTAGTCCAAAAAGGGAAGATTTGGTGTGATATTAAATAGGTTCTGGTAGTAATTTCAAATACAATCTCGTAAAGAAAAGAGCGTTGAGTTACCGGGGCTCTCTTCAAAATTTTAACATACCATAGTTTGTCTGTTTAGCTCCAGGTTCTTTTCAAATCAGGCCTTTGTGTACTGCAAACAATACAGATTCTTAAGCACAGCGATAAAAATAGTAAATGCTACAAAGAGAGCCACGGGCTACCAGTTCCTGCTCCGTATGAATTAAAAGCTGTCCAAACAAACTGTAAAAAGCCAGACTCAAATGGTTTCAACAATGTTTATGCATCCATGTTATGCAAGCAGAAAAATAATTACAGATAGACAGGGAAGAGGGAAAAAAGACAGGGTCATTTTCATATATGCTTCATAGATGCTGAAAAATGAGACTCAACCCCACACATGCATTTTTGTAGTTCCATGTCATCTATGCAATCCAAATGTGGACCCCTCTAACTATTAGCAAGGGATGCTCAGGATCATGCAAACAACAATATTTTACTGTATCCCTGAGTCTGATAAGGATCCTGCTCAAGGGTGCTTCAGCAGAGTACTGTTTTCTGAATGTGTCAACTCTCCATTGCGAGTGCTGGCTGGAGGACACAGCTGCTCTGGGAAACACTAAGCAGACTCTTTGCACAAAAGCCAGTGGATCTATGTAAATAAGCTACTGTGAAAAGGGCCTCACAAAAACGAAGCAGCAATCACTGAGCTGAGTGCATTTCACAGCTGACCTACAATGATGCAGCAACACGACCAGAGCCAATCTGCATGTAGGCAGATGGCTGGGAAAGGGTTTATGACCCATGACCGGAGTAGATGGATAAAATGCTGCAAACAGCCATGCAGTGGATTTACCTCAAGTGCGTATATGAGCAGTGTTTTACAGTAAGTCTATCTATGTTTGTAGGCGATAAAACAGTTGTGGTTTAACATCACTATGCTGCTGTTCTTTTCAATTAACAGCTTAAAATAACACAGACACTGTGGCCATTAAATCTGTAAATCCTACATAAATGAAAATAAACTGTATGATACTTTTAAACATAGAAAAACCGTGATAAAACCTGAACACTAATTGGTATTGATCAGAATAGAGTCACTTTTGACTTTTCCCATTTAGGGGTCGCCACAGCGAAATCGCCATGCTGACGACTCGCATGTTGGTACTGATCAGAATATGAACCCAAAATTGAAGTGGATATCTAAATAAAACACCCCCCAGTTTCTTCATCAACAAAAACAAATTCTCCAGGAAATGCTGAGACAGAAGAATGACGTCTGACCAATGAGAATAGTATGATAAAACTAACTGTGGCTCACCTTACTATCAAGTTTCTTCATGGTCACCAAGTCCAGGGATTTGAGGGAGTGTCCCGTGGGAGCAATGAAGTACAGGCATGCATGGATACGGGTATCGTGGTAGCTGTGTAGCGTGCGTTTGATTTTCAGTTCCTCCTGTAGATATGCTTCAAACTGGGCATCAATAAACTCCACAATGGACTTGTAGCTGTCAGAAAAGTAGAAACATTGAAGAAATTCAAAAAATCCTTTTCCGAAACACTTTATTAAAACTTATCCTGTTACTAATAATACAGTATTTCTAGAGTCTTCTACATCTGGACAGAGTCTCACAGACAGACTACAACAGAGGTGTAGCTATACTCATTAGATAAAGACAATGTGTCCTTTAAAGGTTACTCTCATTGTAGATTTGAGTATTCTTTGAGGGTGATGGCATTGCATAATCCACTGTGCACCCTACAGTTGCTTAATGAAGCATTTATGTGATCCTCATCAACTGCTACATTTGAGAAATATGAAAGTACTTTTTTTTCCCGGGGTGTGTTCTCTTGGTCATCCATCACCAGTAAAAATATGGCTTGATCTAAAGCACCATTTTCTAATAACTTTTGAATTTCCATTAATAGATTATACTCTATGTGGGAAACAATTCCACTACAGCAGATGTCTATCTGGCAATGCTGTTACCAAGTTTAAGGAAATAATTCCATCTTTATCTACTTCAGTGCCGTTTGCCAACACAGTGGAAGGAGGCCACCTTAACTTTACTCCCACACAAGTCGATAATCTTGTTGATAGTACTGCAGCCTTCCTGCGTAATACACTTATACCATTGCCCCTCTGAAAAGGAAGGCAGTGAAACAGAGAAGGCTAGCCCCATGGTACAGCTCGCAGCTCCGCTCCCTAAAGCAGGCATCACGAAAAATGGAAAGGAGGTGGTGCTCCACTAAGTCAGAAGAGTTTTTCATAGCCTGGAAAGATAGTTTAATAACATATAAGAAAGCCCTTCATAGTGCCAGAACCGCATTTTATTCATCACTGATTGAGGAAAATAAGAACAACCCCAGGTTTCTTTTCAGCACTGTAGCCAGGCTGACAAAGAGCCACAGTGCTGTTGAGCTTAACATTCCCTTAGATCTCAGCAGCAATGACTTCATGAGCTTCTTTACAAATAAAATCACAACTATTAGAGAAAAAATTGATCTGATCTGATTAACCTCTCTCTATTAACAGGTTATGTTCCACAGGCTTTTAAACTTGCAGTAATTAAACCTCTACTCAAAAAGCCTACTCTTGACCCAGGTGTCCTAGCTAATTATAGACCAATATCCAATCTCCCATTTATTTCCAAAATCCTTGAAAAAGCTGTTGCAAAGCAGTTATGTGACCACTTGCACAAGAATGATTTGTTTGAGGATTTTCAGTCAGGATTTAGAGTCCATCATAGTACAGAAACCGCACTGGTGAAAGTCACCAATGATCTTCTCCTAGCCTCGGACAAAGGACTTGTCTCCATACTTGTCCTCTTAGATCTCAGTGCTGCTTTTGACACCATTGAGCACAGCATCTTACTGCAGAGACTTGAACATGTTATTGGGATTAAAGGAACTGCGCTAAGTTGGTTCAAATCTTATTTATCAGAAAGATTTCAATTTGTTCATGTCAATGACAAATGTTCCACACAAACTGACGTTAGTCACAGCGTTCCACAGGGCTCTGTGTTAGGCCCAATTCTCTTCACTTTATACATGATCCCTTTAGGCAATATTATCAGGAAGCACAACATAAATTTCCATTGCTATGCAGATGATACTCAGTTATATTTATCTATGAAGCCAAATGAATCAGGTCAGCTGGTCAAACTTCAAGCATGTCTTAAAGACATAAAGGCCTGGATGACCTGCAACTTCTTACTTCTAAACTCTGACAAAACTGAAGTTATTGTGCTTGGGCCTGAAAACCTTAGAAATCTGCTGTCTAATCATATAGTTACTTTAGATGACATAGCTCTTGCCTCCAGTACTACTGTGAGGAACCTTGGAGTCATCTTTGATCAGAATATGTCCTTTAAATCACACATAAACCAAGTCTCTAGATCTGCCTGCTGTCACCTGCGCAATATTGCAAAAATCAGGAGCATCCTGTCTCAAAGTGATGCTGAAAAACTGGTCCATGCATTTGTTACTTCCAGGCTGGACTACTGTAACTCTTTACTATCAGGATGTCCCAATAATTCCCTAAAAAGCCTCCAGTTAATCCAAAATGCTGCAGCCAGAGTACTGACAGGAACTAGCAAGAGAGATCATATCTCTCCCATATTAGCTTCTCTCCACTGGCTCCCTGTAAAATTCAGAATAGAATTTAAAATCCTTCTCCTAACATACAAAGCCCTTAATGACAAGGCTCCATCGTATCTTAAAGACCTCGTAGAGCCTTATCATCCTAACAGAGCACTTCACTCTCAGAGTGCAGGTTTACTTGTGGTTCCTAGAGTCCACAGAAGCAGAATGGGAGGCAGAGCCTTTAGCTATCAAGCTCCTCTCCTATGGAACCAACTCCCAGTCTCAGTTCGGGAGGCGGACACCCTCTCTACCTTTAAGATTAGACTTAAGACGTTCCTTTTTGATAAAGCTTATAGTTAGGGCTGGATCAGGTGACCCTGAGCCCTCCCTTAGTTATGCTGCTATAGGCCTAGGCTGCTGGGGGCCCCATGATGCTCTGAGTTTCTTTCCCCTCCCCTCCTGCTCTCCTCTCCTCTCCTCCCCTCCCCTCTCCTCTCTCTCCCTATGCTTCTATATGCCACCATTACACATCACTAACTTTGTGTCTCCGCCCTCCCGTAGTGTGTCCTCTCTCTCTCCCTGTACCTTTCTACAGGTTGCCCTGGCCCTGGAGCTCTATGTCT